AAGGGAAAATTCATGGGAAAAGTGGGAAATGTCTTTGCAGTGATAAATCCATGTTGGAAAAACAGCAGGAAGATATAACAGCTGGAATAAAATCAATTAAATATAAATTAAATCCCATTCCTGAGATTTAGTAATAAAGGCCTGGAATTCACCTTATGGAGCAGACAATTCCATGCCAGTGGATATCCCAAGCTTTTGTCATCCCAAGGATTTCCATGCTATAGCTTTGGAGCCAAATCCCCCATGGCTGGAAATGTTAAGGCATAAATTGCTGGAATATTTACAAAAACAACCTGGAAAAATGCTTTTCCTGAGAAAACCTCTTGGCAGGAATTCCCAGGAAGGGAGGGAATTACAGCCACATGGAAGTGCAGCARAATTCCTGGTTTCAGAACTGGCTTTCCTCAGCAAAAAATAGGGAAACAGGTGGATAAATCTCCTGGAAGAGATGGAATTCCTCATGTTACCTGCAGCAATCCAGGGAAAAGAGGCACCTGAAAAGGAAGGGAAACTTCCCRTGTGTCCAAACAACCTCCTGGAATCCACGGGAGCTACAACCTGGAGAGCTCCATCCTTTGGGATTTTTCCAGGATTTACATAATCTCTAAAATTCCCCAGCTGCAGATTGCAGTGGGGAGGTGCCAAGGAATCTTTCTTCCAATTTCTCCAGGTCCTCAGGAAGAACAAACCTGGGATGGATCCCATTCTCCTGTGGATCCTAACCCCTGTGCATTCCCATGTTTATCCAAAGCCCTGACTCCCATCCCAGGCTCCAGTTTGCTTCTGTYCCTGTTCCCACTGGATATTTTTGTTTATTATCCAGCCAAATGTCCAAGTTTTCCTTTGGAGAGCCACATCCCGGTGGATTGATCTCCAAACGGGAATAAATCCATGCATCTGGCAGCACTCCACAGCTGGAATATCTGGGAAAGCACGTCCTGCCTGCTCCCCCCACAGCCATTTGCCAGAGCTTTTCCCAAAAAGTTCCAGCCCTGTCCTTCAGGGAGGTCACTTCTTCTTTGCCGGAGCTTTGGAATTCCCMCCAGCTTTTCCATCAGCTTTGCCACCTGATTTTCCAGCTTCGCCTTCTTTTTCCCCCTTTTTCCCAGCTCCCTGTTTCTTGTCACCTGAATCCTTTCCCTTTTCCCCCTTTTCTCCTTTTCCTTCTTTTTCTTCTTTTCCTCCTTTTTCTCCTTTGCCCCCCTTTTCTCCTTTCCCTTCTTTTTCTTCTTTTCCACCTTTTTCTCCTTTTTCCCCCTTTTCTCCTTCCTTCTTTTTTCCATCCTTCCCTTCCTTTTTGGATTCTTCCTTCTCCTTTTCCCCATCCTTCTTCTTGGAGTCTTTGGATCCATCCTTCTTCCCCTGAGCCTTGTCCACTTTTCCGGATACCGTGGCAACTTCTTCCTCTTTTTTTGTTTCCACAGGCTGAGCTGTTTTCAAGGAAAAAAACCAGGAAATGAATTAATGTGGATTGAAATGACCCAGTAACAGGCCAGAATTCCCGCTTCCTGCTGGAAATCTGGGACAAAGGRAAAATATTCCTCCTGGGGCTTTTCCCATCCAGCTGTTTGCTCCTGGTGAGGTTTTTTTTGGAGAGGAATTTGGGATAATCTTTATTCTAAAGGTGGGAAAATCCTGGAGCAAATTCCCAGAGGAGCTGCGGCTGCTCCATCCCTGGCAGAGTCCAAGGGCARGTTGGACATTGGRGTTTGGAGCAGCCTGGGATGGTGGAATTCCCCCCTGCCCATGGAATGGGATGATCCTTAAATTCCCTTCCAATCCATTAATTGAGAAGGAATTTTGTAGCACTAAACTTTTCCTCATTTTCCTGATTTTTTTTTCCCCTGAAGTTGTTCCATTTCTCCAGAGTGCCCCCGAAATCAGGGATTTGATGCCCTGAACTCTCACCCCAAGCAGAGCTTGACCCTTCAACAYGGATCACATTCCATGTGTTTCTTATAGAAAACCTTTTCTTTGCTTGAGGAAAGCAGAGGGTAAAGATCTGCAATATCCATGGAAAATGGGGAAATCTTCCATCTTTTTGCTTTTTCTGGAAAGGGAGAGAGATTTGAGCAAAGGCCTGGAGTGCCAGGAAAAGGGGGAATGGCTTTAAACTGAAATGGAGTAGGGACAGATGGGATATTGGGAAGGAATTCCTGGCTGGAGGGTGGAGAGGGGCTGGGATGGAATTCCCAGAGCAGCTGTGGCTGTCCCTGGATCCCTGGCAGTGTCCAAGGCTGGGCTGGACATTGGGGCTTGGAGCAGCCTGGGATGGTGGGAGGTGTCCCTGCAATGGAATGGGATCGTCCTTAAGGTCCCTTCCCACCCAACCCATTCCATGATTCTGGAATTCCACAAAACCTGAATTTTTTACATTACCCTGAAATATTCCATTGGTGTGAACATTACAATAAAGTTCCATCCTTTGTCCTTGGGAATGGACATCTATTTATCCATAAAAAATGGGAGTAGGACAATACAGGACATTCCTTACAATCCCAGGAGAATTCCTGACATTCCATATAAAAAAAAAAAAGGAGAGGGAAGACTAAAAACCAACCCCAGCCCATCCCATTTTCTCCTTTGTGGAAAAATATGGTGAATTCCAAAAAAATTGGAGCAGCCTCAGACCAGAATGTGTGGGGATCTCCAAGGCCATGGATCCACCCAGGACATCTCCAACCAAATCCTGCTTTTTCTTCTCCCACAAACTGGGAATGGAGCACAAACCTATTTTTAAATCCCATTTTAACCACCGAGCCCTAAAATCTGTTAATTTATTCACAGAAGGATTTACCCTTTATGACATTCCAAGAATTACATGGAGAGCATTTTGGAATTAAAATATTCCATCCTAGGAAATGTGAAATAGGGAATTATAATGCCAGGAACTGGGAGTATTTAAACATCAGAAAATATTCAGGATCCATGATTTTGTCAAGGTGTCCTGACAAAAATTCCTGCATGGAGATGGATCCTAATGGTTTTCACAATTCCCATAGGAATGCCTAAATCACATCAGGGAGGATTTTTYTTTGGGATCAGGATGCATCTCCAGARGGAAAAYRAAGGGATTTGGTCMCACAAAGCTTTCCAGTAMTWCAGACAAAAATTCCAGCATGGAGATGGATACCAAAGATTTCCACCCGTTCCTCTTGGAATGTCTAAATCCCATAGGAAAGGTTTTTGGGATCAGGATGCATCTCCAGMGGTWAAACACAGAAATTTGGTCTCACAGAGATCTCCAGGTGTAAAGATGGAAACATCAGCACAGACACCGATCCCAAAGGTTTCCACTGAAATGCCTAAAT